CACACACTTCTGCAAGATTCGCCGTCGGGCGCACTTTAACCCAGTACGCACCCACCGGCGTACATTAGCCTGGCCCCCCCATCTGGAAATTGAACCCGGTCTTTAAATTCAATTTTTTTTATTGCTTTCCGAATAAGAAAATAAAATTAAATCAAAGCAGATAAAAATAAAAAACAAAAAAAGGGAAAGAAACTTCATGCTCTTTTATGACGAAGGGCGAGCCTCCGATTCAGATCAGTAATCCTTGACCTTCTGTTCGAATCCATCAAAACCCACGTCGAATCCTCAGAAATCGATCGAACCCCATCTCGCAAATCTCACTTTCCCACCAACCAAGCAAGCTCAATCTTCCTCGCAGCTTCAAGCGGAGGTATTAACAATCTATTTCTTGCTTTCTTCTCCCTTGGATTTTGCTGGATTTTCCTCATCTTTTTCGCCTGCTCTTTTGTCCCGTTGATGTCCTGATTTTCGTGATTTTTGGGTCTAATGCAGGTGGATTTACAGAAATGGACGTAAATTTTGTGCGTGCGGCAACATGCAGTGTTTGAATACGTGGGAGAGTTCGGAATTTTGGAATTTATAGATTGGGAGGAGTCGGAGGTTTTGTTGGGTCGGAGATGGCGAATCCAGTGGTGAGAGTGAGGAGGGAGACGATTGCAGCATGCATGACTTGTCCTCTCTGCGATAAGCTCTTCAGAGACGCCACCACCATATCTGAATGCCTTCACACGTGTGAGTTCTCTTTCCTCCCTGGTGACAGACTCTTCGTTTTTCCTGTTTCTTCCAAAAATTGATTCTGGAAATTTGAAGTATGAAGCTGTGATTTTTATGGCGTTTTGGTGTTTTTGGTGATATGGGTTGTTGGTATTTTGCATTTTTTGGTATCGGGGTTTGGCTTGGTTTTGAGTGTTTTGCTGGTTTTGGGATGTGGGTTTTTGGGATTCCATGCTTTCCAAGACACTGTTTCCTTCCTCGTTCTCTCTTTCTGTTTTCGTTATACGACTCGGAGATCTGAGGGGAGCTTTGCCTGTTGGATTGGCCACCCATTTGATGAACAAGCAGAATCTTCTTTCGTTGACAAAGGTCAAATTGACATGCTTGTTGATAACTTCGAATGCTTGATTGACTAAAAGGGGTATAATTCCGACGTCTCTCTTGGAAGGTCTCTGCTTGCAGTGGCCTAAGTTGCATAACCGCATTGCATTAGTACAAGTTCATAGAATGGAATCCTAAGACTGTGTAATAAATGTATAGAGTTAGTGTCATGTGTTCTTGCAGGTAGAATTACAAACAAGCAATTGTGTTCAAATTAATTTTAGCTCATTAGCTGTCTTTTCTTTCCATTGATTAAGGATTTAGTGTACTTCATGCTGGGTTTTCTGTTGCTTATCAAATTAATTTCGGTGTGATGTTTTTCTCCCGGAGTGCTCCTCCACCCTCCTTTTCATTTTATCGTAAGTTTCTTCAGTCTACAGTGTAGAGAATAATTATGATTGATTTAGTGTTTGAACTTCTCCAGTTTGCAGGAAGTGCATATATAATAAGATTTCAGACGAGGAACTAGAAGTCTGTCCAATATGCAACATAGACCTGGGTTGTGTTCCACTGGAGAAATTAAGGTTCCTATTTCTTCACTTACCATCGTATTAAGCAAAATAACTACTTATACGGATTATAATATTTAATGCAATTTTTGGAGAAGTTAGTTTTCCTTCATCTTTTTCGACCAGAACCATTCAGTTTGCATTTTTAATCAGAATGCTGTGGTTTATGCCATCAACATACAACCTCCCCGTATTCATTTATTGGCAAATAACTGTCATTTGATAAGTGATTTATTGTGGGATGATGACCAAATAGGAGGATGGTACTACACATGATATTCCTCGTAATTATTTAGGATCTTCTGTTTGTGTGCACGCAGTCGCATTTGCAACTGCTCAACGTTCTTGATTTAGTTGCAGATGTTTTGTAATTCTTCAGTCCTTGTGCCCTTGTCATGCAACCGTAAATTGTACTTATTGAGCAAGCATGCACATCCATTATGCATTCATTTAATCATAATATATTGATGTTTTTAGTTTACCTTGGTTATCAGGCCAGATCACAGCTTGCAAGATGTAAGGGCTAAGATTTTCCCTTTTAAAAGAAGAAAGGTTAGTGCACCTGAAGTTATGCCTTCAGTTACATTACCAGCAAGGAGAAAGGAGAGATCTCTCTCGTCGTTGGTGGTCAGCACTCCCAGAGTTTCAACACAAGCTACCATGACGGGAAGGAGAACAAAAGCTGTTGCGAGAAAGGCTTTACAGGCATCCAGTTTTTTGGTTGAGAGGCCTATTATGAAAGAGGAAGGTTCCGCGGAAGATCACCCTGAGAGCAGCAGCTCACCTGAGGTCTCAAATAAGTCTGGTCAAAATAACAAGCAGGTAAAGTGATGGCCGCATTCTGTCTTATCTAGCTTACCTTATATACATTCATTAAAACTGCCAACGAGGTTCTATTTCTTGATATTTATACTAATGCATTTATTGCTCTCAAATTTGGTGCCCCAGAGTTCTTTTTCTGCTGAGCCTAGCCAACCTGTATCCAATAAAGAAACTGAGAACGGCGGTGAACCATGGGAAGGGAAATTGGATCTCTGGAAACCATTAAATTGTTTGGTTGAAGTTGCGAATAGGACCAAGTCTTTCAAATCCAACTCCCAAGGGTCTGAAAATAAAGTAGAACCGGGGCATGTAATTGCCAGTGAACCTCAGGTTCGCAAGTCCAAAAATAAGGAAAACAAACACAAATCGAAAGTAGAGGGGGAAAAGAATAGTAATTATCCTGCCTCTCCAGAAACAGTAAAACCTAAAAAGCTGCGTAGGATTCGACGAAAGAGGGAATCCTTTGGAGAATCAAGCATTTCACCCCAAGCTGTTCTGGATGCAGCCATTGGCAAACATGAAAGAAGGGCTGGTCCAATCTGGTTCTCACTCGTAGCTTCTGAAGATCAGTGAGAAACAACTTTAGCTTTGAAAGATTCTCTCTCTATTTGGATTATTTAAAAAAATTTGCTTGACAAGTTGTTCTTCTGTTTATATACTGAATCTTTACATTAACGGTTTCAGGGAAGGAGATGAACCCTTGCCTCAAATTCCGACGAGTTACTTAAGAATAAAGTGAGTTCTTCTCTATGGCTTTAATGCATATCTGAATGCGTCACTCATCATAACATGCTGAAGTTTTCAATTCTGCAGTGCTATCTATACATTTATAAACTCTTGTTTTCTTAAGATTTTGATGAGATTTTAAAGAAGCGAGAATGATTCTCTTATGGGGAGAATTCTTTGACTAGTCTCGTTTGTCTCATTTTTGGTTCCTCTGTCACAGAGATGGAAGTGTGCCAGTCTCGTTCATCCACAAATACCTAATGAGGAAACTAGATCTCACTAGCGAAGCCGATGTAAGTGAATCCATTTTTGGTTTAGTTTGAAAAGACTACTGGAATATCATTCCTTAAATGCTCTAGAGTTCATAGCAGCTGCTACTTAATACATCTCAAGCACCCAAATTATGTGATTTTCTTAAAAATATTCGAAATATATTAAATTTTTCACTCTATATTGCTTGCTTCCATTGGTAACGATTCAGTTAACATTTCTTTTAGGTTGAGATCAAATGTATGGGGCAACCAGTGGTTCCCACATTAGAGATGTATAATTTAGTTGATCTGTGGCTGCAAACGGCATCACCTTCAGAACGAATTACAGCACCCATCGGGTCCTCTGCGAAAGATTTTGTGATGGTGCTGGCTTATTCCCGAAAGGTCTCAAACTCCTAACAGTTGAATCATCTTTGTTTCCCTTAGAATTTGTGAGATGATCAAGAGGCAGTTTCTGATCCGGCATGTATCTTAAGAGTGTGTGTTGCAAACTTGCAATCACCACGTTGTCAACTGCAGCTGCCCACAGCAGGGTTAAGGGGGATGAATGGACTACTGAAGAAACGCTCGCAAATCTTCCCCGTACGCTGGTGTGGCATGTTGTTCTTGGCGAATGGCCATTGCAATGTATGTATTATACCTGATCCAATTTTCTTCTTGTTCAAATTTTTGGTTCGCGTTATGTAATGCAGAAAAAGTCTCAGGGCGCAGTTTGCTTGTCTGTAACACAATGCAAAGTACCAATATACTAATTTTTTTTTCCTCGTTTTTTTTCTTTTGTCATCAAGAAACAGCATTTTTTTCGTTTGGAAGAAAAGTCACTAGACTTCGTTGGTTATTTTTGAGTAAACTAGAGAATCCGTTCCCGAATTTTAACTCAAGTTTAAATTTGGTCTCCGAACTAAAAATTCATTACTTTAGGTTTTCGGTTACTTTGCTTACATGGCACCGTCACGTGGGCACGTGACTTTCCAGCTTAGCTCTGAACACCTGGTTTGTACTATTTTTAGGCTTTCTCTATTCATGCTGTAAAGGCTGCAACCTTTTTCTGCCTTGATCATAACTGGGTCCTGAGTCCCAACTCCCGAGACGGCAGCCAAACAACTATAAAGCAACATACATCCACATTGTTTTATATGGAATTTGATCCTCTGCGAGGCAATGTCAATCCTACTGATCGAACAACATAAGCATTAGATTTTGATTCAATGATTATAATTATTATAATAATTTGGATTGAATCACCTTTGAAGATAATCAAATCTAAAACCTTCACTTACAAGTAAGAGAAATAACATTAAACCGTGGTACCAAGTAACATATGCAGCAGAATTTTAAACCGTTAATTTTTTTACTTCTTTACTAAATAGAAAACATGGTGGATCTTGACCCTCCATTCCCGAGTGCATTCTGTACACTGGCGAATGATATAATTTCACATTTTTAACTACCGCAGAATTTCCATATGATAAGAGTTTTCACATTTGATACATTAATAATTCAATTGTTTTTGTCATAGAATAGAGTTATCTTATGTAAAAGTAAACTCTTGCTCTACCCATTTTACTAATAAAGAGAAGAAAAAATATTAGTATAACCGGGACTTGTCCGCGTCTCTCCATCTCACTCACACCCAGTTACATGTAAGAATCTCTCGTGCGTAAAAGGGAAGACAAAACAATAATCTTATCTTACAAAAACAATTCCACAATAATGTATTAAAAGACATTGGCTTTGCATACATCATGGAGGCTATAATTCTCCCCTTTCCCTTCTCGAATAACCAATTCGAAAACTTTTATCGTCGCGTGGGCCAAATTAAGGCATTGCATCTGTATCATCCCAAATCCAGAGAGTTGCCAAGGATGGTATGCCGGTTCATACCGGAAGAAGATGCTTAGCTCCCCGTCCGGCCTTCAACATCCATCACACAGGTCCTATGGCAGTCTCAAGTATCTATTAACACAAGGTAAATTGAGTAGCAACATATATTGGGTAGACATTGCCATTAAACTGAGGAGTGAGAACAATCATATCAAAACCTCTCAACTGTGGCTTATGTGGTTCAGCTAAAATAGCTTTCAGAACTTGAGATGGTACAAAGTTAGACTGTGATGAATGAAAATGTTGAGCAAGCGACAGTCAAATGCGCCAATGGCAAAAGCCGATGGCAATGGAAGAAACTTACCAAAAACTCATCGAGCTATCAACACTCAAATGCAAATGGCGGCAACACATTCAAATGCAAGAAACCTACAAGATCGAAACTTACAAGTAATATGCCACAAAGAACACTGCTTGGCACATACATACGCAAACGGAATCCAGCACATAACATGCACATAAACAGTAAGCAAACTTATAATCTCGAAAAGATTAACGGCCTTACTCCAATAACTCAACAAGATAACAATGTTTCCATTCATTCAACAACCACACTTGAAATCCAGACTATATATTGGCAGAAACCAGAGGAATCAGATTCTGATACGTGCTTAAGTAAAGTATAAAAGAAAACCTCTATAGGGTCATCAATTCACACTACATTTACAAAAATGAAATCCAACAAAAATAAGCAGCCGAATTCGAAAGCTAAAAGCGAAGAATTCAGCTCAAGATTGAATGAAATGTTACCTAAAAGCAGATCTAAAGGGAGAAACTTTCTTCTACCCAGCAAGGATCCAATGGCACCCAGCATCTTCTAATTGGCTAAATGCCGCTGTACCGAGTCCGCGGGGGACTGCCCACAACCGAGAGCAACCCACCTTCGGCAGCTTCCTGCTCGTCGGCATACAAATCCTCCGTTCCCCTAAACGCCGCGTGCAACCCAACAATCGCGACCCCAATCAGAATCGACACCAGCACGTTCAGCCACACGTGCGTGAAAACCAGAGCCACGACGGTGACGACGGCGAGAATCCCCAAAATGACGCGGTCGTCGACGATTCGGTGGAAAATTACGAGCGGTTCGTCGCGGAAGAAGTAGAGGAAGAACCAGGCGATGAAGACGAGGAGGAAGACAATGAGGGAGACTGGGTGCCAGAGGAGGCTGAGGAAGAGGACAAAGAGGACGAGCATCGTGTAGTTTACGCTGAAGTGGCCGAGGTTGCGCTTGATTCGGACGGTGGCTTCGCCGAAGGTGTAGGGGCGCGTGAAGCTGGAGAGGGGATAGACGAGCTCGAGCCATGGGCGGCGCGTTGCGAAGAAGGACTGGGTCGTGGTTCTGGCGCGTGAGAAGGGTTCGGGCGAGGCGGTAGTGGAAGGATGTGTGCCGTAGTGCGGTGGCGAATCTAAAGACATTTGGAGCTGGAAGAATTGAGCTTTGTGGAGCACTGGAGGTTGAAGATGGAGCTATCTGAGCTGAACTGAAACCCTAGGAGTGAGAAAATGGTGATCGGAACAGTGGGAGGGAGGTTTCTGTAATTCTCTGTGTGAGACTGTTGTGGTGGTCTGATAGTTTGTGCTTTGGGGAAGGTGGGCCTGCCAAATCCGTGTTTATGCCGATTTTGTGTTATATTCGTTATTTCAAGTGATTGTGTTAAATAAATAGATTACGCAAGAAATTATCATATTGATTTTTAATAGATATTTCGATAATTATCCAACTTGTTAATAGGTTCTTCGTGTCGAATTCACGTGTGATGAAAAAATGAACCGGATTCTTTCCGGACTTAAAGGAACTGAACCTACTCATCAAATGATTCGAATCATTAAAATTTGATCAAATTGATACAAACAGAAAATCCTCTAAAATTATAATAATTATAATCATTGAATCAAATTTGAATAATTCGGATCATTTGATTCTTGAGTGCAGTTCCTTTTTATCCAATTCCGTAAAAAAGTTGTGAGGTCATTGTGCACAAGAAATGCGTGATTTGATGGAAGGTGTATCTTGGGACTAGGTGGACGTGGTGGAGCCTCGGCTTTGGTTACAACCGTTTGTGGAGTGGTCTATATACTATATAGGCTTTATTGGTGAAACAGGTGGCCTGGACAAGCGCAAACAGACAACTGGTCTGCATAACTTTTTGACCGACATGAGAAGATTTATAAGTTTTTTGGCATTAAAGAAAAAAATTGTGATTTGTCAAAAAAAGGATTGGATGGATATAAGAAATTTTTCAGTCTACATTGATCTATATTATACGAGAAATTTTTTAGTATGTCAAAATAAGATTGTCGGTTAAATTACTAATTGTTGAATTTTTTGGCCGCACATTAAACTTTCGTGGCCTAGTAGCAAAAGATTTGATCTAAATCACACAACGATTAATTATAATAAATTATTGTTTAATTCGTCATTCATTAGTTTTGAAATCAAGACCTCTAATAGACTTAGGGCCTTCGGCTAAAGAACAGTCACAAGTTATTAACATTCTTATTTGTTGCTTAAATGACATCCTTTCATTTACATGTCATCAATATGGCCTTCATAGAAGCAAAAAATGAGTAACTCAATGTTATGTACAGAGCTATACCAAAGAAAGAGCGAATGGTGTAAGTATACGTAACTTTAGAGTTGTGTTTGTGCGCTTATAGATGTCATGAAATATTTGTTACATATCATGAAAGAATTGGTAAGTCTTGACATCTTCCACTATAAACTTGAAAGCACCAATGCAGCCCAAAACTGCCACAACAGAGAACCAAGCAACCAATGCAAAGTTGAGAAGCAGCAAAGAAAGGTACATTTTGGTGTTTTGGGTCTGCCTTCTTCTTCTAGCTTTTAAATATGCCAAAGCAGGGAACACAAAGTCCAAAGGTGTGAACCCAATTGCTCCACAGATTGACACAAAGTCCCCAAAGAAAGGCATGGCTGCTGCAACAAGAGTGATCAGAACCATATAAATCGAGGTGAAAGCAAGCCGAATTAGGGTTTTTCGGAGCCAGAAATGACTGGTGCTGGTGGTTTTGTGTGACAGGAGTCCCTCCTCAAAGTAGGCATATGTTGGCCTGCAATATATCTAACAACATGAAATGCAAAAACTGCATCAGAAGAGAATCCCAAGTTGTGGAAAATGGTGGGTTGGGGATTTACGCTGCGCCCGGACAAGGAGGAAATAAACTTGGAATTTGGACAAAGAAAAACCCGGGTTAAGAAACTTTTAACTCTTGAATTTCCTCGTCCGAGCGCAAGGTTAGAACATATGACACGTAATATTAAGGGTACCTGAAAACATCCTGAAATTTGTATGACAGCAAAAAGATTGGCCATGACAATGGTCCATTGGGGAACAGTTAGAGAAGACAAGATGTAAGGTTGCACTTGTGAGCCAAAAGCCCAGTACCCAGTGAAGGCCAACTGCCAGTAACTCAACACAATGACACCATATGCTGCTGATACACCTTTATACATGTTCTTCTTTGCAGGTTCTCTCACTGTATTCTGTATCACAACATAATTCAAACTTTTCAAATTGATAGTATAACCAATTACGAACTTTTAGTTAAACGTAGAACTAGAGCGACACTAAATAGACAATAGACGGAAACTGAACAACAGATTGACCTGGATCTCCGGAAGCATTGCATCTCCAAAGGAAAAGGCAATTGCGCCAAGAGCGTTAAAGGCTCTGAAGGCCTTAGAAGATGAGCTTCCATCCAAACTATAACTGACTGATTTTCTGTCAATCTTTTTCCCTAACAAGCAAGGAAAAAGAAATTACTAAACTCAAATTCCCAAAGAAATCCAAACTTGACAGATGATATTTATGTTGTGCAGTAGTAGGCTACTACCGTTATAAATTGTGACACCAATTGTTGTGCCAGCAAAGCCAATGGTGCTGAAAGTGCACAGGGCATTTACCCATCTCAGTGAGTGGATATCTGGCAGCTGAGAAAGCAAGAGTTCAAATGCCCCAAAGAAAATGATGAAGTGCTGCAGGGTTAAGCTACCTTCACTGTGATAATATTTGTATACAGCCTGCATGAAAGAATAAGCAATGTTATATGCAATTCCCTCGAGTCTTGGGTTGGCTCGTCCGGTGGTTGGGACTGAAGGGGACTGAAATTGAGTTAGAGTCGTTCTGACGGAGTCTCATCACTCATCAGGAGAAGACTTGTAAGACACAATATGTTCGACTGTAGTTCAATTTACTCAGGACGGTAGTTCAATTAATTGAAATAGTCCAGTTCAGACCGAGCCACACAACTCGAAAGAACTACAACAACTGGGAATGGATGGGTTGGGTTGGGTTGAGTAATCTCAAACCTTAAGGCTGCTTCCAGCTGCAATCTGAATGGCTATATTATTGCCTATAGAGGCCACCTGTTGAAAAAATGCAATTGACCAATAACCCCAGAACCCTTCAACAAAAATAAATAAACAAATAAATTATGAAATTGAATTGTAATTTCCATAACAAAATTAGGATATTGAGGGATTAAAAAGTGCTTAAGTGGTACCAAAAATGCTTTTTGCCAGGTGGCGATAGGTGACGTGTTTCTTCCCATCCCATTTCCACAGAGATGCAACGAGAAAGCTTGAATACCACGTGGCTAGTGTTGCTCCCACCAAACTGCTCACCCCTGCAAGTTACAACAATAATCAATCACTTGAGAATTTTCGAACCGTCGAGATTCACAGTCTGACAATATTGTAAACTACCAAGAGGCCAGCCGAGAGAGGCCAAAGCGAAAGGCAGGGGAGCATAGGCGGCAGGGGTAGCAATCGTGGTGGCCACGTGGAAAGCGGCGTGCCTCCACGTGCCTTGACCATGTTTTGCTTCTTCTTCTTCTTGTGCTACTTGCCCTTCATGATCCACCTCCACTTGTTCATCTTTTGGTGCTTCTGCTGTTGGATCCGGTAGTGGAAGTGACATTTTTGGGTGGCTTCAGAGTTTGAAGGCCTCTTCTGCCTTCATCGGTCTCTGATTTGTTGTGTGTGATTGCTGATTTGCAAAGGCACCTTCAGTTTAGTTAAATGTCTAAATAAGCTGCTTTTGACTTTTCCTTGTTGGGGTTGTAGGATGTGGACGCATGGAATATTTGGGATTAGATTATTGCATCTCTTTGAAAATTACCATTAGGACAAATGTTGTGGGGTACCCATTACTCATTTGAAAGAAAACTCTGGACTAAAATTCAACTTTAAATACATCGATATAAATATAAAAAATTTAGTTAAGCCAAACGATGAGTTAATATAATAATGTAAGATCGAGTTTGTCATTTACAAAAGTTAAATTTAAAACATCTCAGTACAAGTGACATCAATAAATATCCAATTAATCATTGCTTGAATTGGCATTTGTTTTTCAATTTTCTTTTTATTTACTGATGTTTATTTTATGAAATTTTATTTATTTGTGATCTAATTCTTCATAAATTAGATTAACTATATTTTACACCCTTCAAATTTGAGGTGATTTTTAAAATAGATCACGCGGTTCCCATTTTTTCACATTGAACCCTGAAATTCAAAATTGTACCAACTCACACCTTTTGTTTCTTTAAACGTCTAATCATCAATAAATTACCAAGTTTTTTGCTTGTTAATGTTGTGCAAGTGTGACTTACACGTGAACTCATAATAGAGTCTCAAACTCACCACCTCATCAATTTAATGAATTTTTCATACAATCAACCAGACCGAAGACACAAATCGATACAACGTCAATACCCTTAAGGTACAATAAGAGAATAAAATTTCGTGACTCATTTTGCTAATCACTAGAAACACGGAGGGTTCAAAATGCAATAAACCCAACAATGACATACCCGGCCCGACCCGGCTGCTTCCCTAGTCACGGGCTCAAAAGCGGGATGGGCAGTACCAATCCAACAGGCCCAAATTGCCCCCCTAACGGACTTTCAAAAATCCCCAAAGGCCCATTTCCTATAAGCAAACACCCGCCTCCTCCGCTGCACTTCCTCTTCTTCACATAGAATTCGCGTTAATCTCAGAACCCCAATCCCCGAAGAAATGGTTTACATAACTTCCTGGGACGAGTTCGTCGAGCGATCCGTCCAGCTTTTCCGCGCCGATCCCGAATCTGTACGTTACTCGATTTCCTTTTTCTCTTGTTTTATGTTTGGCTTCCGAGAAAATTCAAGAAATTCGAGTGAAGTTATTCCAGTGCATGATAACCCTAGTCTTCAATAGTATAATTGTTTTTTCTCGTCGTAATTTTCTTCGCAAAACCAGATTATGTTCTTCTAATTTCAATTATTGCTGTTTTAATTACGTTTTGCGAACAAGAATTAGGTGGTCTGAATTGTTTTGTTAGACTGATGTTTAAGTGTTTCTAACACTTGTGATGGATCTGTTTGTTGATGCAGACTCGTTACGTGATGAAGTACCGGCATTGCGAGGGGAAATTGGTTCTCAAAGTCACCGATAATAAAGAGGTACTGATTTGATTATATCATGTGGTGGTCAATCTTTTGCTCATTGTACTTGTTGTGTTTAAGAACATCAAGTAGTTCTAAGCATTTGGTGTTATGCGTTTAGAGATCTGTAGTCTGTGCGTAGAACTTTGGATTATGATTTTTCATTGGTTGTTTTAATATGCCTGCT